TGGTTACTATATTCGGCTTCATCAGGGAAACGCTGAATTCTCAGGATTACCTCCCTAGTAGATAGCGAACCACAGCATGGATGGAGGTACGTGTTATAACCACTTAATCGTTAGATTACAATTGTTTCTGTCATGACAATGCTTAGCTAGTGGCAACTGGTCTAGATGCGTTCAAGCTGCCAGCTGTCCACCGTTTGGTTTATTTCGGACAAGTCAGCAATTCGACAACCAAACTTTAGTGGACGGACACATGGTGAAAGGCGGAAGTATAGCTGAATGATCTGATTATTACTCACATGTGAGAGAGTGCTATTTCTATGGAACGTCGTACATAACTCCCGTACTCGGCACCATCCATGGCACCTCGGGGATCAGAACTCATGGATGCCACAGCTACTATGACATAACTGATTCTAGGAGTGAGACTATAAAGTATTTTAGTGAGTAAACACATAACACAGCGGCCGCGTTGAACTACTAGCAGACAGACTGAATTGATAGCTTAACCGAGAATCGTCACCAGAGCGTCCTGTTTTTTTTAGAACTACTCGTCTGCATAAGTTTCATAACTCTACTCAAAGGCAGCACTTTATAATATCGCTTACACTGAGCGGTGCTACGGCCTGCGGTGACTTTGCAGGTGCCTTAAGCGACTTACTCAGCTAGGCTATCTCTTATGGCAGACTACATTCAAAAGTAATACTTCTGCCCGGACTCTACTTGCCAAAGCCTATAAAAAATTTTTTTATTGCTAATATGACTTGAATCACATCAATCCAATGACGATGCTGAAAGGACTGCCGGGCCTTATAGTGACTGCTTTGCTTAGAGGGAGAACATTACCTCAATCATATCTTATACCACGGAGCAATGCATGATGATACTTCTGCGATACGAAATGTCTTAATGACTGCAGCAATCTCTACGTTGAAACTCATGTTACTTCGTAAACGGCTAAGCTTAGGACGGACTATAATGCCGACTCGGTGACTTGATATTGGTCTTTTAAACCTAATAACCGCAGTTTATGTAATACGCTTTGTTAAGTAGATTATAAGCACACGGTAATTAATTTAATTGGTATATCCAAAAAGCAAGAATGAAACGTTTTGTTGGGGGTAGATGCACCCTACGGGTAACAATGTCATTGAAATGTTTGAAGTCAACGGAAATTAGGTTAATTTAATAGTCCATCATAGTACTGGGCTTTCGCCATTAAATGTACTATTAACAAATAATTATTCAGATTTAATTGTATTAAATGTACTATTTAATTGTTCCACGTGAGACATGAGAAATCGTAGTATTTTTTACGCGTATAAGGACAACGCACAACGTTAGATTGATGACTTGATATTTTATCTTTCTTCAAATGCAGTTTATTACTTAAACAACTTTTATTACTCAATCGTTTGCTATCAAGATAAATTTATGGGCGCCATAAATGTTTTGAATCGAGCCATATAGTATATGTTAACTACCTAACGACAGACTATTCACACAGCAATAAATCCAGTCATTATAAAGATCAACATACAACCTTTACCTGCCTGGCGTATGTGTAATCAAATATATACATCGTGGGCGGGGTTACAAGGGTTCTGTATGGAAAGATTAAGGTAAATGAGACGAGACGTGTGGAGCGTGAGGGTTGATGAATACAACATATGTTTGTAGAGAAGTACGGTTGAATGCTGATTGATTCTGTATTATATATTCTGATGTATACCAATTCAAACGTAGTATACGAGTATGCATTTCACTTGTTTTTTCTAACCCAGCAAACGAGCTTTTGTGGAGGAAAATAATCTAAAATATATGGCGCAAATAGAATTGTTTCATTTCATTAAACAGTTTAGGTGTAATCGTAACCCCAATCATGATTCCTGGACATTTTTTCATTATCAAACGTTCTATAAAAATGTCTGCTACTAATACTCTTCTGGTAGCAGGACGGGATGTGGTACATACACCATTGGGTGCAAACTGCATGCAGCGCCCCCTTCCCACACTCAGGATATACCAGTAGAATTGAGCCAGAGCGAGAGCGCCATCTGTCGTGGAGTTTGCATTGGGTGTTGCTAGAACACGGGCGCCGAAGGAGGGTGTCGTTACGTGGCAGCACTAGTCACTTCGTACGCTTCAAAGTCCAAATCTCCCACAGAAAGATTCCACCAATGAACGTCGCGTGATTGCGCAATACATCGAGTGTTAAGCTTGTATTTGCAGCGAGTGAAGTCCACAGCGTGACCTTTTAGAGGACGAAGCCACGATGAGTCCGCGAACCTGAGCCGGCGAAGACGACACCTACACATGCACCGAGTGAACTATCCTTAATCGCGTGTAAAACCGTTATATATTGAGTTTATAGACGGTTTACAGTATGTCTATCATTTCACCACTAAAAATCACCGTTCGTCGTGTAGACGTCTCGCCTACATCTGTCATTGTCATATACATTGTCACGTCTCGGCTACGTTGCCGAGATAAAATTATACACATCAAATATTGACAAAAGGCAATGAACCCGCACTTCTCGTTGACTTAGTATATTTACTAGTCGTAACTTAGGCACGAAGGGTCGTTGTCGTATAGGGTACTACATATATGTACCCGAGGTAACTATCTGATATGGTTAGGGTTAGGGTTAGGGTTAGGGTTAGGGTTAGGGTTAGCGAGTAGGCGTTTCACGCAGGTTGGTTGCTGGATATAACCGGAGACACAACGCTTTCCTTCTACTTCATGGGAATCAGCTGCATGGTGTCTGTAGTCACCCTATCTGGGTTACTATATCGGCTCATCAGGAACGCTGATTCTCAGGATACCTCCCTAGTAGATAGCGAACCACAGATGGATGGAGGTACGTGTTATAAACCACTTAATCGTTAAGAATTATCAATTGTTTCTGTCATTGAAATGCTAGCTAGTGCACTGGTATGCAAAATATCACAAACTCGGTGGTTGTTCGACTTAGCTGGACACCAGATCAGACGAGTCATTCGTAAATAACTTGCGCCTTATGCATGTTATAGAGCCATTCGTTCAAGCGCCAGTATACGTGTCACACCGTTTGGTTTATTTCGACAGAGTCAGCAATCAACAACCCAACTTTAGTGGACGACACATGTGAAAGGCGGAGTATAGCTGATGATCTGATTATTACTCACATGTGAGAGTGGAACGTCGATACATAACTACCCGTACGTCCATGGCAACGAGTGAATGCCACAGCTCTAATGACACTACTGTCTAGAGTGAGACTAAAGTACTTAGAGTAGCGTGACTACTAGCAGACAGACTGAATGATACTCACCGAGATGTCACCAGAGCCTGTTTAGAACTACGTCTCTAGTCATAACTCTACTCAAAGGCAGCACTTATAATATCGCTACACTGAGGTGCTACGGCTGCGGTGACTTTGCAAGGTGCTTAAGCGATACTCCAGCTAGGCTATCTCTATGGCGACTACTTCAAAAGAATACTACCAATATCTGCCTATATTGACAGGACAGGACATAACTGAAATGTGTGATATTGCAACGGTACACTTTTTAGTGCAGTATATTTGGACATGGTGTATTTTCTGGCGCAAAGCGGTTTGCGACAGGGTCAGGTTTTCAAGGTCCCCGACGCACCCCCTTACCCAGTTCCGAGGCGGGTGCCCTCCCAGGGTAGCTTTATGAGACCACAAAGCACGCTCTAGTTGTTAAATCGTTGCCTTAAAATGACTACGTCACCATAAAATTTAATAGTAAAGGTTAAAAAATATATTTCCACTTTTTCACAAAATGCAAGTGATTCTGTTCGCTTTGTATGATGAAATTGATGTATTATACTTCCTATTTTGCTATTCTGTCCGATGTGAACAAACCCTCGTGCATTTTATGTCATGATCAAATATATCAACTCGTCCAGACTTTTTGGATTTTTAACTAGTTGTTTAACTAGGATACATTTAGTGCCTTTAATACTTGCCTTTCCTTTAAAAAAATTGAAACAACAATTTTACAAATATATGCCACAGAAAATTCGTGACGTAGTCAATTTAAATGTAGCCATAATGTAAGGGTGACAAGGGATTGTGGAATGCCTCGTTCGTGGTACGTATTGATTATGTTGTGCTATTCCACTTTAGTTTTGTTGTCCGTGTATAAAGTTAATGTCATAGTCTTTTGCACTGTTTATCATAATTCATCGCCTCAGCTCGATATGAATGAGGTTTTTCTCTTCAGCGCCATTGGCGACGGCGCTGTGTCACAGATACTCCTACAGGACAGTTGCTATACCCGGTGCAATCATTGCTGGCGTAGGAATGTCCCTAGCCTACTTTGCCAAAGGTCTTCCGGTCCTCTATCTTACTTATGGACTGATGTTTGGTAAGAGTAAATGTAGCAGCTCACCGTTGTACTTCCGATTTAATCCAGGCAAATTTAATATTTGTGTCGGATATCTCGCTGCTATTATTTGATGATTTGTTGTCATCTGATTATTATCTAATTATGTAAACCAGGTACACATTCGAAAATCGCTCTAGACATATAGCCGCCCAGCCATGAAATCTTAAGTTTAAATAAAAGTTTAAATAACCTGGTCTGATTTAATGACATTTTGACAAATGACTTTGTACTCGTTAACAAAAATAAAACACGTCATTCAAATTGCTTCTGTAGCTACACTTAAACGTGTAAAAATTATTCAGAGATCGTTAATTTGTCAAGTTTTACGACCTAAATTATATCTGCAGGGCTAGGATCATCGTTAAATACCATCCCGGGACAAGCATCAACAGCTGAGCATTTTGTTAAGAAACGATCAACATCCATCGGCGTCATTCTCCTAGGAACCGGAGTAGGCACACTTGTTTGGCCGATCCTCATAGAATACCTCCTAGAAGAATACTTGTACCAAGGAACATTTCTCATCTGTGGCGCGATATCATTTAACCTTCTCGTCGCTGCAAGTCTATTTAGAAATTTTAAGAAGAGACCGCCGTTGGACTCCTGTGTCGCGGAAACAAGTAACAATGTAGAAACGAGTGCGTCAGCCAGTAAACCACCATCATGTTTCGCCAGGATTCAAAATTCTATCAAAAATAGCAGGCCGATCTTGGACAAACGCGTTCTAACAGATTCTACCACTTTAGTGTATTGCGTGACGCTGTTTTTTGTTCAAATTACCTACCAGTCTATTTTCATTCTGCTGCCCACGCGAGGCGAGGAGATAGCAGACACTGAGGGCTTCAGTGCGGCTACACTGGTGTCCACCATTGGTCTTTCGGCTTCCATTGGGCTCCATGTGGGACATCAGCTTCTTGCGCAAACTCACTCGCAGGCTGGCGGGTCTAACAGGGTTCATCTTTTTTATGGGATTATTCGTAATCATCTATCCTTGGATGCATACCACAGAAATGCAAATTGTAAACAGCGGCATCTTGGGAGTAGCCACCGCCGGGTACATGACAACGTCTTTTATCGTTCTGCTGGATATGTCTGGTGTGGAACTGTATAAGGACGCTCTAGCACTGCGACTTATCTTTGGCGGACTAGCATCTCTCATTGGACCGGTGACAGTAGGTATGTTCACGCTTATATGCCATATACATATAATCAGGAGTTAATAATGACAAAGAAGTAAGACACCTCTTTGGTACTAATTTAACTACATTTTTGTCATTATTAACTCCTGATATAATATAATGTTTGGACTTGTTTTTAAAACAACATGTTTATTAATAGTTTCTGTGGAGATCTGTTCAAAGGATATATGCACCTGCCCATAAAGGTCGTTGACACAGAGAAATCTAGTAATTGTAAAAAATATACAAACAAAACAAAATGTGTAACATGCACATAACAAAACAGACACCTGATTTAGTTATTAAAAATAATTAGGTAGGTTCAGGTATCTGCAATTTCCCCCAAGCGTGCAATTTATATAATTGGACGCGCGTTTTATTTCACGCAGGTTGGTTGCTGGATATAACCGGAGACACAACGCTTTCCTTCTACTTCATGGGTATTAGCTGCATGGTGTGTGCTGTCATCCTATGTGGGTTACTATATCGGCTGACCAGGATAAAAGATGTACAGACCACCGCCTTAGTTGATAGCGAACCACAGATGGATGGAGGTAAACATTTACCACTTATCATGTTCAGAATTACTAGATCCTCTTGAAATTCTAACGCAGGTGTGTGCAAAATATCACAAACTCGGTGGATGTTCGACTTAACTGGACATCAGATCAAAAGACATTCGTAAGTAACTTGCGCCTTATGCATATTATAGAGCTATTCGTTCAAGCGCCAGTGTCACGCCGTTTGGTTTATTTCGACAGAGTCAGAAATCAACGACCCAACTTCAGTGAACGACACATGTGAAAAGCTGAGTATAGCTGATGATCTGATTATTACTCACATATGAGAGTGGAACGTCGATACATAACTACCCGTACGTCCATGGCAACGAGGGAATGCCACAGCTCTAGTGACACTAATATCTACAGTGAGACTAAAGTACACAGAGTAGAGTGACTACTAAACAGACAGACTGAATGATACTTACCGAGATGTCACCAGAGCCTGTTTAGAACTACGTCTCTAGTCAAAACTCTACACAAAGGCAGCACTTATAATAGTGCTACACTGAGGTGCTACGGCTGCGGTGACTTTGCAAGGTGCTTAAGCGATACTCCAGCTAGGCTATCTCTATGGCGACTACTTCAAAAGAATACTTTTGCCCGGACTCTACTGCAAAGCTATTAATTCTTTGTTATTGCTATATGACTTAATACATCATCAATGACGATGCTGAAAGACTGCCGGAGACTTATAGTGACTGCTTTGCCTTAGTGGAGACATTGCCTCAATCATATCTCACCACGAGCAATCATGATGGGCTACTTCTGCGATACGCATGTCATAATGACTCAGCAATCTCTACGTTGAAACTCCATGTACTTCGTAACTGGCTATGCTAGGAGACTATAATGGACTCGGTGACTGATATGGTCTTTTAAACATAATGACCGCAGTTTATGTATAGCGTTGTTAAGTAGATTTAAGCCACGGTAATTACTTAATTGGTATCTCCAAAATGCAAGAAAGGAAACGTTTTGTTTGGTAGATGCACCCTACGGGTAAAATGTTTGAAGTCAACGGAAATTAGGTTAATTTAATAGTCCATCATAGTACTGGGCTTTCGCCATTAAATGTACTATTAACAAATAATTATTCAGATTTAATTGTATTAAATGTACTAGTTAATTGTACTAGTTAATACTTACTTTTCCTGTAAAAAAATTGAAACAACAATTTTACAAATATACACCATAGAAAATTCGTGACGTAGTCAATTTAAATGTAGCC